GGGAGTCAAAACATCTCATTTTGACCAATAAACTGAACATACGGTTGTACTACATCCCAGTCACTGATGGGGATCCTTCGCTCAGTTCAACTGTGAGTTACACTCAAAGCTAAACTAACTGCCCTAATTGAAGTACAGTACAAGACCCTAATATGTCTGTTATTTCTCAAAGGGAAGCCCATGTCAGGATGGAGGCACATTGTCTCTTTCTTCTTTATTGGGAAGAGTGGATCCATGGTACAACAGCAACATCAACAGTCTGGGAGCTGCAATCTCCAAACTGGCTGGAAAGGTAACCATAGATTAGACAAGACAGTGATGCTAGCAGCTCTTAGTTTAGACGGTCACATGACTTCATGTCACCACCGCTAAGCTAAAGGCGGCTAATGTTGGGCTATAAAGGAACTACAGCACGGTCACATGACTTCACGTCACCACCGCTAAGCTAAAGGCGGCTAATGTTGGGCTATAAAGGAACTACAGCACGGTCACATGACTTCACGTCACCACCACTAAGCTAAAGGAGGCTAATGTTGGGCTATAAAGGAACTACAGCACGGTCACATGACTTCACGTCACCACCGCTAAGCTAAAGGTGGCTAATGTTGGGCTATAAAGGAACTACAGCACGGTCACATAACTTCACGTCACCACCGCTAAGCTAAAGGTGGCTAATGTTGGGCTATAAAGGAACTACAGCACGGTCACATGACTTCACGTCACCACCGCTAAGCTAAAGGTGGCTAATGTTGAGCTATAAAGGAACTACAGCACGGTCACATGACTTCACGTCTCCACCGCTAAGCTAAAGGTGGCTAATGTTGGGCTATAAAGGAACTACAGCACGGTCACATGACTTCACGTCTCCACCGCTAAGCTAAAGGTGGCTAATGTTGGGCTATGAAGGAACTACAGCACGGTCACATGACTTCACGTCACCACCGCTAAGCTAAAAGCGGCTAATGTTCGGTGTGATGACGTGTAGTAGTGTTATTTCAACCCAGTCTCACGGCATTTTGTGTAATAGTCACGAAATAAATGTAATCTATTGATTCGTGTTCACCAACACGACTTCCCCCTTTTTTTCGTGTCACACAGAACGAATTTAATAGCAATGTATTTCTATTGGTAGTATGTTTTGTGCCTGCACCACATCTTTTTGTCCGGTCGGGTCTTGGAAGACCGGAAGCTGTGTGGTTCATAAAAACATTTTCTTACTCAATATCAAGCCACGATTATTGTTTTTTATCTTAAATTGTATAATGTCTGACTTTTTTTGCCTTCCGTGAGGAAAATAAATGGGGCTCAGAGCCAGAATACTGAAATCTGTATTTTAAAAATCTTTTTTTCCTTCTAATTTGTTATTATTTACATTGCTTTTTAAATCGTTCTGTGTGACATGAAAAAAATGGGAAAATCGTGTTGGTGAACACGAATCAATAGATTACATTTCGTGAGTATAACACGAAATGCTGTGAGACTGGGTTGGTTATTTAGCCACTGCCGTTTTTGAATTCACTAGTGGGGTATTTACTGACGTGGTTTTGGCTTAGAACAAAACCGGAAAACCTCTTAAACCTGTATTAACCACTACATTTTTCATGCATCTAACCAATAACTCATCAAAAACGACTTTGAGACAACGAAACGTGGAAGTGCTGAGATGCTAACTAGCAGAGCAGTGCTTTGAGCTAATGCTAAGTAGCGTGCTTACATGCTCGCAATGAAAATGCTTAGATGCTAATGTTAAGAGGGTACAATATCTACCACATAGTATACTGTTTAAGGATGCTAACATTTGGTAATTAGCACTAACATTTGCATCCACAGAGCCATTATCTAAATATTTATCAGCGCAATAAACAGTATTTAATTTCATCTTACTGTACAATATTTAATTTTACATTCTGTTCTTGTTTATATCATATTCTATTTACGTGTATATAGACTTCTTGCACAATTTTTTTGTTGTATTTTTGTATTTTATTATACATGTTGCATCGTTGGAGCTGCTCGGGTCATTTTCATTGCCATTTCTACACTGTAGCTTATGTGCATATGACATTAAAACCTTTGAATCTTGAATCTTGAAAATGCTAGTATCATAGCTAACATCTCTGCAATGTTTCTCTACTGCAGCAGGCTAAGAAAAGCGAGTCACCGGTGCAAAACCACTTCCTTCTGGACACGCTGTGTTACTACCTTCGCTGTGGTACGCAGCCAGTCAACCTGCCGCTCTATTCGGTTAAGGTACAGTGCATGATGATATAATGAACATGTATGCAAATGTAAAAGGCAGAGGGATGTTGGGTTCACATGCACTTCCTGCTGTTTAGATAACACGCTCCAGCTCTGAAGGGCAATCTGTGGTGGAGGAGGTGTTTGTGTCCCATCTGGAGGCCGACATCCCAGAGTTCAGACACCTCAAAGAAAAGTTATCAAGTATGTTTCTGGACCTCCTTTTCTCCTTGTATACTAACTATGACTGTGCTAAAATCAAAGCTACTCAAAGTGACCTGTTGTCTTTGGCAGAGAAGATGTCTGTACGGCTAAAGAAGCCAATCAAAGTCTTCGGAGCAGTCATCTCTGTCAGCTACACAAAGGTACAGTCCTTATCATTAATGGTCATTTTAATACCTTCTTTTTAGTATTAACTTCAGCAGAATATTGGCTAACTATCATATCCTCATCAGATCGCTCTAAGCAGACGACAGGTTGTAGATGGAGAGGCGCCCATGATCTGTGGCGTGGTGGTTACATCAGAGCCGGCAGCTTTAACATCAGGTTTACCTTCTTTTATTTTTACTACGTTTACAGATGTATATCAATGCAAGAAAATAAAATCCTTATCACTTTTTCTTCAGGTGTAAATCACCTTACTGTCATGTTTAACAGCCTGAACCCGGTGTACAACTCAGTAAGTATTTAATTATATTTCTGTCATTCAAAGTAATATTTATAGTGGTAAAGCAGCGGTTTGAGCTAATGCTAAATAGCGTGCTAACATGATCGCAATGAAAATGCTGCACTAACATTGCCATGTGTAGAACACATACAAAAAAACTTCCAGATGAGGGAACAGGAAGTGCTAAAATGCTGACTCAATTCAGGTTTTTTTAGGACTCATTCCTGCACCACTTTATTGTAACTGAACCTTTCTAAACCTTTTCTGTTTTCATTTCAGACGATCAAAACCCAGAGCATCAGCATCCGGACGCTGGAGGATCGAACGCTCACCGTGTGTTTGGACAAAGACTCCCGCAGGACGTACACTGACGTTCAAAGGTCATTTACGACACTCAAATATTGCTTTTTTCACATTTTCTCTTAACAGTAAGCAGTTTGAAAGTGATATAAATGTAATGTTATTCCTTTACAGGCTAGAGATCACTCCCTGTTTGGACCCAGGATGTGACATCGGCTCCCGAAGATCTTTAGTTCAATTTGTGGACTTTAGCAAATATCTGGACAAAGCCCTCTCGCTGCCCATCCAAACGTTCACAGGTGTTACCGTCTGAGGACCGTCAGCTGTGTGCTGAAAACACTGTAGATAATGCTCTTGTTGCACAAAATAGTGGGTTACAAAGTGTAAATTAATCCAATGTTTGTATGCTAATTGTAAATGCTAAAAAGGGGAGCTTAAATCAAAGCATTACCAACATTTTTCTATCCTATTTGACAAAAAAACGTTGTTATTGTAATGTTAATCCCTTAAAATATATTTCTTATTATCGCACTTATTTAAAATATGAAAATAATGCTAAAGCAATGTATAAGAGTTGCTTTCAATGCAGTCGGACTACCACTTGGAAATTTCCGTTTTTGTTTATTCCAGCTAATTTTGTGGCATTTTCATCAATATATAGCAAATGGGAGTTAGTAATCATTAATTGACGGTCCATGAACTGATAGTGACTTGATCATTTGTTTTAATGGTGGAGTTCATAATAAATATCGTATTAAATCTTTATATAACTTCATTTACTTTAGTACGGTTTAAGGTTTAGTTTAAAGGTACTTTAAGTTTGTTTAAACTGGTAACAAAATAATGTGTTATTCTGTGAAAACAATTTGAGTTTCTAAATTCCTCAATGTGAATGTTATGTAAAAGAAATGTCATAAAGTAAAATGCTGTAAATTAAATAACCTATGACTAAATATTTTACTTAAAGGTGGGGCAGGTAATTTTGGAGAAACCAGCTCGAGTGCGCTAGAATTTGAAAATACACAGCCGGAAAAAATCTGCCACTTCCTTACAGAGCCCCTCCTCCAACACACACGAACGCGCACATGACCAATGAGGGCACGAGATAAGTTTGTGCACAGATGGAAGGCTGACAGGCAGGTAGGCCATCCAGTTATTTTAGCCGGGCCGGCTAAAATGATTGGTCGTGCTTTTTACAGTACTACGGCTTCCACAGATGATATTTTTTTATGGATTTTTTGTCAAAGCACTTCAGATATTCATTGCTATCGGGATGTTAAGAGCATTCCATGGAATATAACAAAAAGTGTATCTCGAGCCGGTTTCTCAAACTTACCTACCCCACCTTTAAGTGTGAAATAAGGATTTTCTTTTATTAGAAATGGGAACGTTTTTAAAACGGTAGCATTATTATATACAATAAAAAGTGTTATTATAATTATTACTGTTATTATTAAAGGTATTATTATTGTGAAAAATGTATCTGTTATTGACTTCTACTTATTTGTTTACATTTGTCAATTTAAACAACAGATTTTTCCCCCTAAAAATTAACATCCCTAATAACTTTAATTATCCAGATAAAAACACTAAAATCTGTTCCTGCCCCCCTTCTGTCAATAATAATAATAATAATAATGAAATATATAAAACGTACAGGTTGAAAAAACAAACAAACTACTGACTCAACATATTCAAACATAACATTAATTTCCCAATAATGAATATTCTACAAAATATTCCTTTTCCTTCGGTGCACAGTGGCCTCCCCGCCTGTAGGGGGCACTGCAGTTCGGTAAAATCTCTCAGGTAAACACCGATAAAGAAGCGTATTCACACGGCAACAGGTGCACTCCTTCCCAAAGAGAGACTCATCGTGGATATAAAGCAGCAGGTCGAGCTGCAGGATGACCGGTAGAACAGTTTAAAGAAGGTTCCCGAGGGCCACAGGTCTAAAAGGTAAAAGAGTATTTTTATTGTATTACAGTATCTTGTAAAGTTTAAGTGACGTGGACTAAAGCTCCACATCTGCAGATCCTGGACAAACAGGTGCATCCTGCTGCACAGGTGAACTGAGCTGTTTATGCTTTCATGCAGAGGTGGAAGAAGTACTTATCTTTTACTTGAGTAAAAGTAGAAGTACTCAGATCATGTACTTGAGTAAAAGTAGAAGTACTCGGATCATGTACTTGATTAAAAGTAGAAGTACTCAGATCATGTACTTGAGTAAAAGTAGAAGTACTCAGATCATGTACTTGATTAAAAGTAGATGTACTCAGATCATGTACTTGAGTAAAAGTAGAAGTACTCAGATCATGTACTTGATTAAAAGTAGATGTACTCAGATCATGTACTTGAGTAAAAGTAGAAGTACTCGGATCATGTACTTGATTAAAAGTAGAAGTACTCAGATCATGTACTTGAGTAAAAGTAGAAGTACTCAGATCATGTACTTGATTAAAAGTAGATGTACTCAGATCATGTACTTGAGTAAAAGTAGAAGTACTCAGATCATGTACTTGATTAAAAGTAGATGTACTCAGATCATGTACTTGAGTAAAAGTAGAAGTACTCAGATCTTTTACTTGAGTAGAAGTACTCAGATCTTGTACTTGAGTAAAAGTAGAAGTACTCAGATCATGTACTTGAGTAAAAGTAGAAGTACTCAGATCATGTACTTGAGTAAAAGTAGATGTACTCAGATCATGTACTTGAGTAAAAGTAGAAGTACTCAGATCATGTACTTGATTAAAAGTAGATGTACTCAGATCATGTACTTGAGTAAAAGTAGAAGTACTCAGATCATGTACTTGATTAAAAGTAGATGTACTCAGATCATGTACTTGAGTAAAAGTAGAAGTACTCGGATCATGTACTTGATTAAAAGTAGAAGTACTCAGATCATGTACTTGAGTAAAAGTAGAAGTACTCAGATCATGTACTTGATTAAAAGTAGATGTACTCAGATCATGTACTTGAGTAAAAGTAGAAGTACTCAGATCATGTACTTGATTAAAAGTAGATGTACTCAGATCATGTACTTGAGTAAAAGTAGAAGTACTCAGATCTTTTACTTGAGTAGAAGTACTCAGATCTTGTACTTGAGTAAAAGTAGAAGTACTCAGATCATGTACTTGAGTAAAAGTAGAAGTACTCAGATCATGTACTTGAGTAAAAGTAGATGTACTCAGATCATGTACTTGAGTAAAAGTAGAAGTACTCAGATCATGTACTTGAGTAAAAGTAGAAGTACTCAGATCTTTTACTTGAGTAGAAGTACTCAGATCTTGTACTTGAGTAAAAGTAGAAGTACTCAGATCATGTACTTGAGTAAAAGTAGAAGTACTCAGATATTTTACTTGAGTAGAAGTACTCAGATCTTGTACTTGAGTAAAAGTAGAAGTACCAGAGTGTAGGAATACTCAGTTACAGTAAAAGTCCTGCATTCAAAATGTTCCTCAAGTAAAAGTAGAAAAGTATTCTCATCAAAATATAGTGAAAGTAGCGACAGTAAAAGTAGTCATTGTGCAGATTGGTCCATTTCAGAATAATATATATGATATGTTTTATAATGATTGATCATGAAAGTGTTCTCAAAGCTGGTAAAGGTGCAGCTAGTTTGAATGACTTTGTATACTGCAGGGTAGCTTGTGAATTTACTCCAGGTGGAACTACAGTCTGATTTAACACTTGATTATATTTCACATCATTCATCCACATCTGTAAAGTAACTAAAGGTATTAAATACATGTAGTGGAGGAAAAGTACACCATTTACCTCTGAACTGTAGTGGGGTTATTTACTCAAGTGAAGTACAAGTACCTCAAAATTAAAACAGTTTCCAAAGTGCTGATTCTCTGTCTGTTACTTTAGATGAAAATAAGGAGCCCCTCCCCACGCCCCTCTAGAGATTTGGTTACAAAGAACACAATGGTGCTCTAGGAGGAGATTCAGGTGATAAGGTGGGGGGGGTTACCTTGGTTGGTGATTGGCTAATGGTCACACAAGACAAAACATCGTTATGACATCATAAAGTGTCCACAATCTGATCAGCTCATTTTCAGACAGGTTTTTATAGAAATGGATCAGGACAAAAAGAGAGAGAATCTTTGTTCCTGAAACTTTCAGAGTCTCTTTACACAGAGGGGACACATGTTGATGTAGAAGAGACATGAAGAAGAGGGGACACATGTTGATGTAGAAGAGACATGAAGAAGAGGGGACACATGTTGATGTAGAAGAGACATGAAGAAGAGGGGACACATGTTGATGTAGAAGAGACATGAAGAAGAGGGGACACATGTTGATGTAGAAGAGACATGAAGAAGAGGGGACACATGTTGATGTAGAAGAGACATGAAGAAGAGGGGACACATGTTGATGAAGAAGAGACATGAAGAAGAGACATGAAGAAGAGGGGACACATGTTGATGTAGAAGAGACATGAAGAAGAGGGGACACATGTTGATGTAGAAGAGACATGAAGAAGAGGGGACACATGTTGATGTAGAAGAGATATGAAGAAGAGGGGACACATGTTGATGTAGAAGAGACATGAAGAAGAGGGGACACATGTTGATGAAGAAGAGACATGAAGAAGAGGGGACACATGTTGATGTAGAAGAGACATGGAGAAGAGGGGACACATGTTGATGAAGAAGAGACATGAAGAAGAGGGGACACATGTTGATGTAGAAGAGACATGAAGAAGAGGGGACACATGTTGATGTAGAAGAGACATGAAGAAGAGGGGACACATGTTGATGTAGAAGAGACATGAAGAAGAGGGGACACATGTTGATGTAGAAGAGACATGAAGAAGAGGGGACACATGTTGATGAAGAAGAGACATGAAGAAGAGGGGACACATGTTGATGTAGAAGAGACATGAAGAAGAGGAGACACATGATGTAGAAGAGACATGAAGAAGAGGGGACACATGTTGATGTAGAAGAGACATGAAGAAGAGGGGACACATGTTGATGTAGAAGAGACATGAAGAAGAGGGGACACATGTTGATGAAGAAGAGACATGAAGAAGAGGGGACACATGTTGATTTAGAAGAGACATGAAGAAGAGGGGACACATGTTGATGTAGGAGAGACATGAAGAAGAGGGGACACATGTTGATGTAGAAGAGACATGAAGAAGAGGGGACACATGTTGATGTAGAAGAGACATGAAGAAGAGGGGACACATGTTGATGAAGAAGAGACATGAAGAAGAGGGGACACATGTTGATGAAGAAGAGACATGAAGAAGAGGGGACACATGTTGATGTAGAAGAGACATGAAGAAGAGGGGACACATGTTGATGTAGAAGAGACATGAAGAAGAGGAGACACATGTTGATGTAGAAGAGACATGAAGAAGAGGGGACACATGTTGATGTAGAAGAGACATGAAGAAGAGGGGACACATGTTGATGTAGAAGAGACATGAAGAAGAGGGGACACATGTTGATGTAGAAGAGACATGAAGAAGAGGGGACACATGTTGATGTAGAAAATACGTGAAGAAGAGGATTTTGCATAATAGGTGACCTCTAATGTATTATCTCCCCTCTCTCTCTCCCTCTGTTTGTCTCCCAGTTGAAACCCACTCCCTGTGAGACCACCATCGTTCCACCATGAAGAGGAACAAGCAGATCAACATCCAGCGCACCCTCGCTCTGGCCGGCGCCTTCCACTTCCTGTCCTCTTGCGCCCGGGCCTCGCTGCTGCCCTTCCTCCCGCTCTTCCTCCGTCAGCAGGGTCTGTCTCCCTCCATGACGGGCATCATCATGGGCACCAAACACCTCATCGCTCTGCTGTGGAGCCCCGCCTCCAGCCTGCTGTCCAAACACTACAACCAGAGGAGGGCGGTGATCGTTGGATCTCTGGTTTGTTCGGCGTCCGTCGCTCTTCTTCTACTGTTCTTCCCGCCTGTGGACGTGCACGAAAACTGTCATTTTACGAGTGATCTGAGCGGTGGTCCGACGCAAAGTCCGACAGACGGTGGCATGTTACCCAGAACTACGGATTCTCAAACTCCTGCAAAGACACTCGCTGATGCTCAACCTGCTCCTGTTCTGACAAACGAAACGGCACTTCTGGATAAACCTCCGCTTCCAGAAGACAATGCGAACAAAAGTCAGACAAGTGGTGGTGTGATGAAGACCATTGTTGCACCTTCATCTTTATCCAAAACTAAAGCTAACAATGCTACTCTTCCTCAGTCTGCAAGTGTTCCTGCAAAAAGACTCGCTGATGCTAAACCTGCTCCTGTTCTGACAAACGAAACGGCACTTTATGATCTGGATACACCTCAGCTTTCAGAAGATATCCCAAACAAAAGTCAGACAGGTGGTGGTGGTGCGATTAAGAGCAGTGTTGCACTTTCCTCTTCATCCAAAACTAGGAAGAAGAGGTCAGAAATAAAGATGGAGGAGGAGAACAACCAGAGACAGTTTGAGTTTCTGGGCAGCCTGAAGGTGATGGACGCTCATCACCAGCTCTTCTTCCTCATCCTCATCACCGTGTCGCTGTGGGAGTTAATGGCGGCGCCCCTCGAATGGACGGCGGACGACGGACTGTACGAGTATCTCGACTTCGCGGATGCTTCGGATCGATACAGAATCACCTCTATTTGGAAGATCCTCGGAGCAGCGTTTGGCGTCGGAGGAACCGGACTTCTCGTTAGCCGATTACCCTGCCTCATAGCCGGGGGTTTCCCTCGGATGGCCGCACACTTCTTCCTCTACGCTGTCATCGGATTTGTGGCGCTTCCCGTCGCCGCCTACCTGCCTCTGCACCTGAATAAGAAGCGGGATCGGGGTTTCGGTCTCCTGAAAGCGTTGCAGCTGGTCCACAACTCCCCCCACGCTTTGCTTTGCCTCGCCACCACCTTTTTAGTGGGGTGCGCTGGATCCGTTGTGGATAATTTCCTCTTGTGGCAGATGCAGGACCACGGGAGCAGCGAGATGCACATGGGGGTCTCGTTAGCCCTCGCTTTAATCTCACAGGCTGTCTATCCTTTACTCAAAGGGCGGATTTCGAAGCTGCTCACCCCAGGAAAGGTGCTCGTCGTCGGGGCAGCAAGCCTCGGTGTGCAGTGCTTCTACTTCTCCTTCCTGTGGGGGCCGTGGGCTGTGATTCCCGCCCAGATGTTGAGTTGTTTGAGCTCCGGCGCCCTCTGGTGGGCCGTGAAGATACAGTGTGAGGAGGTGGCTACACCAGGTTCAGAGAGGAGTGTGAGGAGGATCTTCAGCTCTCTTTCGCTAAATTTGGGGAGTAGTTTGGGGAGTTTCGCCGGGGGCTTTGTGGTGCAGAGGTTCGGGCTGACGTGGCTGTTCAGAGGGACGGCGATGTGTGTGATGTTGTGGTGTGTGTGTCTGCCGCTGCTGCAGTTTAAAGCCCCTCGACAGTGCAGGATTAATTACTCCAGACTGCTGGCGGCTAACGGGAGCGACGCCAGCGACTCTGAGAGCGAGTCGGACTGGCTGGAGAAAGCGATGGAAGAGAACAGAAGCAACTCGGGGAGAAAGATCCACTGAGCTGAGGGCAAAAGGATTCAAAAGGTGAAGTAGCTAGAGATGATTTACCTCTACGAAGTAAAATGATAGATCCATTTATATCAGAGGGTATATAAGAGTAATCATAAAGAAATTGTTGGTCAACTTGCACTCGTATAACTTTGTCGACCAATCAATTTGTTGTCTTAATTGACAGAATTATGAAAAAGCACAACTTTATAAACCCCTGTTTCCAAGAGATGTGTGCAAAAATGACAACTACTGTATAGTGAATTATGACTGAAAAGTGATAGAAAGTTCTGCTTTTCTAAAACAAATATCTACATCATATATTTATATACTTGACCCTGCCTTTACAACATTAGAGAACCCCTTTTTATTTCTGAGGTAGGGTACAAACTATGCAAAACATTTGTTATTTTCTTTGTCAATCTTAAATTGTATGTTGTCCTATGTTACAAAAAAAACTCTTCTGATCACAAGTGTCATAGAAAAAGTGATTCAGCAAGAAAAAGACAATACTAATTGATACAGGATGTTACACCACTGATGTCAGAAGTGTTGTGATAACTAAAACTACTAACCCCAACTAATCCTACCAATATATTTGTTTCGTACTGTCTTGCTTGTATCCTTAACTTCTGCTAAGGAAGCTCAGCCGAAAGAAAGCTCATGGATTTCCTTCTTTGACAGCTTTAATTAAAGTCAAAGTGCCAATGTTTAACTTTAGCTGCTCATCATTTCTTCCATCAGAGTCAAATGGAGTGGCAGTCTGCAGTTCAAATGTCTTAAAGCTTTACTGATGGACTTCCTCTCTGAGCCACCTGAGCCTTTTCACATTAGCACAAGCAATCATTGTCTTTTATATAAAGCAAACAAGGTAGCAGGATTATGCTCTGCAGAAGAAGACGAGGCAAGTTTAACCGCTCTGGGTTTAAGTTATTTTTCTTCAGGTGTAAACACAAGATGTTTGCAGAGGATGAGGCTCTGGCTTCTGGTTTCACCACACCCTAAAGCCTGTTTATCTGCTGTGAATATCACCACTGGCATGCATTGTGTTTGTGCCTTTATTCTACACTCTTTAAACTGCTGACATTATTTAAAAGGCGGGATGGTGATCGTTCTGGCAGTTCATTATGCAAACTGTGTCAATCACTTGGTATGGTATTTAAGTAATTTCTAAAGAGTTTCTCATTATAATTTATTTTATTTGTCGAAAACAACGTCCTAAAAAGGGGCCAGTGGAGGGATGTTGTGCATGTTTGATTAACAGATCAATTATATTTAAGTTGGAGACCATACGTTTGTCCTAGAGTTATCTACATGTACTGATTGTCTGATGTTTGTTCTCTAAGAGCTTCCTTCCATTTTGCCGAAAATAAAAGGATTACAGTTGTTTGATATTTTGATCGTCTTGGTTTAAAAGATTCTTGGAGTCAAATTGAATGATACTTAGAAACAAAGGGTAACTGGGATTGTAATTTTGTGTGAGAATCTTGTGTTAAAGCAAATGTGTTTTTTGAGCTGTGTCGGAAAATGTTTATCAAAACTGTATTTCAATTTCACGAAACATACCGCATGTCAAAATGTGTATTTTGATGTGTTAGAAATCATTAGAGATGTGTGTTGAAAATAAAATATGTTGTCTTAAAGGGACAGTGCACCCAAAAACAAATAAACATATTTTTCCTTTTACATTTTTCCTTTCTACTGTAGTGCTATTCTTTCTGTTTTGCTTCTGTTTGAGAGATTTTATCTGTATAGGTGTCCGGCTTTCTTCCAATATTTTCACTTCAATTTCAATTTTGACTTTTTCAGAATTTTGTCTTTTTTCCAGAAATGTTGAATTAATCTGAATAATGTTTTTCAGAATTTTGACAGTTTCAAGGAAAGTTGACTTTTTTCCGAAATGTTGACTTTTCTCAGAATTCTTACTTTTTCGAGGAAAATGTAACTTCTTCATGCTGCGGTTCTTCCAGCAGGTGGCGCCCTGCAGAGCATCAACCTGTGTTATAGGAAGGAGCTTAATTTATCCAGTGTATGGGAAGGAGTGTGTGAGCAGATGTTTGCAGCTCCTCCCGTTATATACCCTCACACAGAGCACTTGGTCGGTATCTACATATTGTTCAGGCTGCAGATCTTTGTGTCGCAGAGTCCTGAAAGAGCAGCATTTTTTTTTTAACAATATGGAAAAGGAGAGAAGATCCTCAAAGCAGTACGGCTCTTTGGAGAAGACGCAGGTGGAGGGAGCGACGCAGAAATCAAGTGAGATATAATTAGAAGTCATTTAGTGTTTATATTTCACTGGATGCGTGCTTTCATTATGTTGCTGTTTTAAGTCATTAGCAAAAGAAGCGATGTGTGCATGGCCCCAACTTTCTGCAGATATTATAATTAAAGCGCCAGGTCGCTATGGAAACACATTTACACAACCAATAAAATAATAAATATTAACTTTGCAATGAAAAAAAGATCCTGTAAGACATTATAGTGACCAGCTTTATAGAAACAATGACTTAGTTTGTAGCGTAGAACAAACAACCAGTTGAAAAATATGAATTTACACAAACTATCTGTAAAACAAACAAATATATTTAAAATATTTATCTGCATTTCATTGTTTTCCAACATTTTTGGGAATATTTTGGAAAATTAACAACCTCTGGAATGTCCAAATTGACCAATCAGAATTTAGTATTCAACTAATAAAATAAGATATTATATACAAATAAAAATGACATTATAGTGACAACATTTATAGAAATAATGACTTAGTTTGTAGCGTAGAACAAACAAACAACCACCAAATTATTTTTGGAATAAATTGGAAAATGAATAACCTCAGAATCGAGCATTCAACTAATAAAGTAAGAAATCATATACAAATGAAAACGTATATATATCTTATCTATATTGATGCTAAGACTTCTATACTTACCTTGGATTTAAATGCAATACTTTTACTTGTAACAAAGTTTTTCTACACTGTGGTATCACTACTTATACTTTAGTGTGTTTGTGTGTGTGTGCATGGATGTGATAATACCTTTATATATACAGTCTATGGATAATACACATGAATGAAGTTGTGGATTCAGCAGATATGTGTGTGTGTGTGTAGACGAAATCCCCGGTGATCCAGTGTGTGTGAATGTCTTTTCACACGAGGTCTGGTAAATAAATGAAAACCATTCACAGTTAAGAATTAGATATTTAATATGAATGCCATAAATGATTGTATATTTACAGTTTCTTATTTCTCCAGTGTGATACAGTAGCTGTCAAACAGAAGTTAAATCCATTTCTCACTTATTCTAAGAATGATCTTAACCCACTAAAAACATTACTTCTCAAATAATCGTGGAATTACGTTGTAATAACAATAACTCATATCTCTCGTTCAGATTAATGTGGTCGTTTTTTTTTTTACTTCTTTGCGAAACGTGTCAAATGTCCTACTTGGGTTGCTGTACGTAGCTCATAATCTATCATACTGGATAAATAAGAAACTGTAAATGTATGCAATCATTTATGGCATTAATAATGAATATCTCATTCTTAACTGTGAATGGTTTTCATTTATTTAACATTAGAAATGTATTAGTCTGGCCAAACTCGATGGCAACCTAAAATCCCTCTCTTTCCGTATCTCAGATAGAAGATATGATTGGAGACGAAACAGCCAATCAGAATGGACCTCCTTGAGTTCTCCGATTGGTTGGTTTTGTGGCCCATTTGTAACGCTGTGCCAACTTGAGCGTGCACAGGGTGGAGAGGTTGAGCGAGGGAGAGAGAGGGAGAGAGAGAGAGGGAGGGAGAGCGCGTGCAGCAGTCTTCTTGTGCACGGAGCAGGAAATTGTGAGATGGCTTAGAGTCATTGTGCTTGCAAAATATATTTTTCTGTACTCAAAAATGTTAAATTGCGCACTGAATAACATTTTCTATGCTCAAAATATTTCATTGCATGCTCAGGATAGAGGATAAAAAATAACGCCATAAATTCGAGTATTGACTCGCGGAAACTTAAAGAAATCCAGATACCTTTCATCGTTCCATTCAAGTGCTTTATTCGAAAGTTCAAGTTGGCGGCCCACTACCGACTTGCAACATATGCATGGCATTTAAATAAAATAAACAAACAAAACCAACAGGCGTACGGATGTGTGCGGTCAAAAACGTTTTCCGACTTCCCCTATAAACTTCCTGCTGTGTCACGCTATAGTGTACGCCTCAGAGAGCCATGGAGACATTTTGGATGGGATGGGATCTTTTGAAAAGTAAGGATGTAAAATGCAGTTTTTAAACATACCTGTGTATGTGGGTCTTAGGCCTGTCCATGGGGAGCCCTCCGACTTTAGTCCAAATGATCATCAATGAAAAAGGAATGGAGCGTCTTTCACTTTTACATATCAAGGCATCATGCAAGAGCAGACTCTGCTAAGAGGCTCCTGGCCAACATTAGGTTCTGGGGCCCTCAGAACACACTCTTTTTGAAAATACCCTAGACTCTAGGGCCTAGAGTATAGGTGCAGTTGCTTTGGTGGTAACTTAGCATTGGCGGCTGAATCTCTGATTCACTAAAGATAATTAATTGATAATAATTCCTAGAGTTTAAGACTTTGGTTTTAATTGATGTAGCCATTCTGAAGGGAGTCGTCCAATATTGGTCAACAATGAAGCGTTGTATATTGGTGCCCTCAACTGGCAGAACAATGCAACTGATCAATCAACAAACCTTAAACATTTTTACAGACCAGGCGAACCCAGTCTGCTTTAAAGTTGAAGGAACGTAAAAGATGACAGGAAAAATCAGCCGGGTGTTATGTGAGTCAGACTCTCACAATGCAAAGAAAAACAAACACTTGTCGCACATTTGACCCTGACAAGGCACTTTTGGTAGCCGAGACAGATTATTGTTCTCAGGGACGAGACTCGGGTTGGTTGTCAGAGGCCTGTGTGAATACTTTTCAGCATTTCACATTATTTACACCACCAGCACATTTTGCAAAACATGCTCCTGGATCTTTGGATGCTGACTGCCCTCATGTGGTCACTCTGTGCGTTAATGTTTGAAATTCTAATCTAATTTTGTAATAGCAATAGCTGTATTTTAATGAATGAAAAATAAAATGTAATACTTTTCTATCTAGGTAACATGTTTAAAATGTTTACTATGATGGTGATTGGGACTGATGATTGCAGAACTAAGATGTAATTGTATTGTAATTGGGAAGATCTCATATACAGGGTTTATATTTCAGATGGCTTGTTTTTGTCCTCTGACACCTCACTGTCACGGGAGATGTTGCTAAGCTAGTTAGTGATTGGTCAGGGACTATGTTTAAAAGAGGTTACTCTAAAGATCTTTGTGTACAAATCTTGTACAATTATGGTTATAGAATGTTTGAGTTACATATCCTCTCAACATTCGTACTCCTTGACTAACTTACAGCAGCTGTCATCAAAAAACATTTATATAATATGAAACAACCAATTAAAACTTAACTCTTCCAAAAAGTATACACTTAAACAAAAATCTGCGTGATAAGAACTACCTCAAATGACAACCATGAGAAAAATGTATTCAATGTGTACTTTGATGTTTTTATTGTGCCCATGTCCCATCTGCTAACATGGACGTTTATAATATATATAATGCCGCCAGTCACCAGGGAGTGATTTAGATGCTGCGGGTTCACTAGGAGCTGTCATGTCGTCCATCTTAATGCAGTCTATGGTTCCATGCCACAAGCAACCCCCTTTCACATATCTGTTGCTAATATATAAATATTGATTGGAGAAGCTGTAATAGTAATTGCTTCCCTTCTCCATTTCGCCTCCAGAAAAGAAAGACACAGTTCTGCGGCAGTTGCGTCTCGACCCCTGCGACCTGCAGCCCATCTTCGACGACATGCTGCACATCCTGAACCCAGAAGAGCTGCACGTCATCGAGGCGTGTGGTGCAGTGGATAGAGCGTTGGTGTTCGGATCAAGGGAGCACAGGTTCAAACCCCACTGCAGTCAGCATGTCGTTGTGTCCCTGAGACACTTCACCCCAAATTGCTCCTGTGGGGATTGCCCACAGTATTGAGTATGTAAGTCGCTTTGGATAAAAGCGTCTGACAAGTAACATGTAATGTAATGTAATGTAAATCGAGGAGATCCCAGCCGCCGAGGACAAGCTGGACCAGCTGTTTGAGATCGCAGGGGTCAAGGGTCAAGAGGCCAGCCAGACGCTTCTGGACTCGGTCTACAGCCACCTCCCTGACCTGTTGTAAAGGAGGAAGGAACCACACAGATTGACAGAGAATTGGCATGGAAATGATGACTCAGATCTGGCATTGTTCAGATTAAGCATGGGATGATATATGATCTCAGTATTGTATTGCAGTATCTGAGTACGATGTGTTATGTCACACTGTCACAAGATTTGAGCTAGGTGTAGTTGTAATCTACTCCCTCAAAAGACTCTTTCCAAACTTCACTGATAGTTTAATGCTCTTACCCTCCAATGTGCTTCAGTGGTCTTGTGTGTCTACTATGATACAGGGTCAACGCTCAATGTTCTTCTAGTGTCACACCAGGGAGCACTTTTTCATTTTTCTAAAGTATGTTTAGCCTTGTTAAAGGTGGCCTTTGAGTGTTACTTGTGACCTTAGAAATGAGGCCAAAGAGTCTCCAAGCTGGTTTGAAGAAAAAA